TAATGGGCCATAAGCGCTATTTCAGTCCATGCTTCTGTTCTTGTAATGAGATTTACCCTCTTGATTCCCCCTCCCCAAAAATTTTAAAAAATGTTTACTGGTTTATTGGAAGTATCCAAACCTGTAAAAGCAAATCAAAAGAAGACCAAATCTTAATAATCTTATAGCTTAACGGCTTCAAAAGCTCTTCTATGAGTAAGGAATTGTGGATTTGATTTTACTTATAATCTCAAGCCGTATTAGTTATCATCACTTATGGACAAGCGAGACGACACAAAGGAGGAACTGAAGTTAGTAGATTTGAATTCCCTCCAATGAATTTTTGATGCAGAGCTCAAGTGAAAAAGAAGTATAAAAGCATTGTTTCAAACTTGCGCACTGTACAATATAGGCACTGCGAGGAATCCAAATCCCAAGTTTAGAGGCTGAAGTGGAAAGAAAAAGAGAACATATTGTTTCAAACTTTGAATGGGGAAGGGTTGGGGCTAAGCAATCCAAAGAGAGGAAAGAAGAGCATAAAGGAAGTCCATTAAGCACAAGAAACCAGGACAAGTGCATTTTAGTTGCATGGAGAGTAGAGCTTGGAATTCTAAAGATAGCTTAGTACCGTAAAGAGTGCTGGCTGCTGCTGCCGGAAACACAAAAGCCGCTTCCTGCTTCGTTTTGTTTTTCACACTCCCCACCTTCTCTCCTGTTTCTCTACTTTTAATGCCTTTCTTCCCCCTCTTCCCTTCCCCATTCTCACCCTTTCGCTTCTTTTACCCATACCACCGATATACCTGGGCTCATCCTCTTGCCTAAATAAAGTAAACTATCAATTTCCTCCTATTGTTTTCAATCCAGAAAACCAAAAAAAAAAAAATCAGTTTCGGCTTGAAATTTAAAGATCCATACAACTTTTCTTAACAACAGAGTTCAGTGGGTCATGAGCACTTCATGGAACATATTCAAGATTCGCTTTTATTCTTGTAGTTTTACGGACTCAGAAAGATAACAGAGGCCTCTCTGGAATTAACCAGTCAGAACCTTGGTATTAGACACGACACCGGCTACAAAACGCTTGTTGAGTTTTTTTATATCATGTTAAAAAGAAAAAGAAAAATCTGTTTTCTCAATAGTAACTACAGAGGCACTGCTGGTTCAGTTAAGCAATGTGCAGGAGTTATTATGTCTTAAAGATATGGTACAAGGACATGTCAGAAAGTTCAGTGACCTGGCAAGCTAATAAAGTGTTCAAGAGAAGGAAGATTCGGTCTTTGTTTGGTAAAAAAGAGCACAAGGCAAATTATAGGGATGTAGGGAAACTGAATGAAAAGATGCTTGTCCTCCCTAGGATATTGTTCCAATCAACACTTTTGCTCAAACCTGTCAGAGTCGTCTAAAACAGCCTTATATATTAGCTTCTATAGCATGCTTATGATTGAGGCGAATCTAAAACTTCCCCACATCTTCTGCTCCTTGGCATTTTCATGCTTTATGCTTTCATCCTCTCAAATCCCATAGAAGATAAACTTCGGGCTTATTCTTGCAGACATGAGCAATAACACTTGACTCAAGCTACCCAGCTCCTCTCTATTTTGGCTTTAAACAAAGAAGCTTCCTTCCTCCAACATTTTCCGTTTCATAGAAGCATGAGTTACTTCACTTTCAGAGGATTGATTCTTTTATTTTGTATTGGGATTTTAGTTTCTGAGCCATACAGAGTTTGTAGCCTGACAAGCAAGAATCTTGCGTTGAGGTGGGATGAGGAGAAATCACCAGTTCCTGGAAGTTTTCGTAGCCTAAAGGATGTTGAAACAAAGGATTTGCAAACAAAGACGGAATTGGCACCTGCACCTTCAATGACGTTCGATCCTGATCAGTCAAACAAAAGAACAGCTCAAAAAGGTTCAGACCCTATTCATAACAGATGGTGACAAGCTGGTGTTGCTCTCTCTAGACTCTTACAGCCCAGATAAATAACAGGCGAGTTATATCATTCTTTGCTTAAAGGATTCTGAAGGAGGTTGGTGGGGTTTCCACGGTTTTCTTTTCCTTACAACGTGTTTACCATGAATCTATCAGCTAGCTGAAATCCATAATTGCGCTACGATAATGAGAGTGTTAGACCAATCATAGGTACCAATAGTTGGATAGTTAATGATCATGTTAGCTCTCAAATACAGAATATAGTGCATTTTTTATTTTCTTATGACAAGGCTCTCTCTTTATCTCTCTCTCTCTCTCTAGATATATATATGTATATGTTCTTGGTAGCAAGGAAAAAAAAAAAGTATGCATATGTTCTTAACTTCGTTGACATCTTTAATGATGCAGTTGCTAACATCCCTGCTCAGCAGCCAAATCACGATATAGGTTTCTCCAGGGGCTAAAAATAAGACTTTTTGTATACAAGATGATCCAAATTGATCATGACAGGCCCACAAGACAATGGCTGATGATCCTGGTTCACAAGTTTCCATTTTTCAATACCCATGTGATTTAAAAAAATGATTCAATTTTTTTATCTACTTTATCAAAACTAGAGCTACAACTGAAAAAATGAGAGCTTCAACTGAAGAACAGTTAAAATGGAGAAATGTGGCTTGAAAATATGACGAACCAAAATAATAAATGCGCCGACCTTTGAACACCTCAGTATTTCAGTCAGTCTTGACAAGAAGCTGAGATCTCTTGTATCTGTTCTTCCTGTGCAAATCAAATCGTGCAGAAGAAACCTTATGCGCAACTTCCTGCCAAATCATATTCACAGCATCCCCAGTTTGGGATGGATATTGATACTCAAAGTGCAATGTAATCTCCTTCAATCTTTCCCACATCTCAGTCCACCTCTTCTCCGTGATTGATCTTAGCAGACTCAGCAGATAGCCTTTCCTCACAGCATCCTTGGCACGGACAAAGAGGCAGAAGTCTGAGTAATCCAGGATATCTTCGAATGGTAGCTCAATTTTGTCACTAATAATCACAGGAACACAGTGGCTTGCTATGGCATCAAAGAGACGATTGGAGGATGGGGTATCCCCAGCAATGTTTAGGCAGAATTTCGATAAGGCCATCCCATAACTTGCCTCACGTATCCCTTTTCCTCGTACTGTTCCAAATGCAAAGTGGACGTCTTTCTCATCTTTGAGAAGATAATACAGTTCTTGGCGAATAATTCCTCCCTGAAGAGTTTCCGCTTAAAAATCAGATCAATTTGAAAATATGCTTACTGAGCAGATTTAAAATTAGTAAACCATAGATGATATGGATAGCAATTCGAGAAAGAACATCACTAACGCGACTAATTAAATTATTAATACTCCACCAGGGGTAGACTACGAAAAAGCAAGAAATGAAGTGACAAGGATCAAACTCTGATCACTTAGCCACGGAGGCTTTAATGTAATGTTTAAAACCACTTCAATTCAAAAAGTTAGGTTTTTAAGACCTGTCAATAGTTTTATTATAATTTCTAGCAACAGTGATGAAAACTTGTGGACCATAAAGCAAAAACTTTCCTTTTTTCCCCCATTTTTTGTCCTGTACATAAAATTACTGGCCAAAACAGGGCAAGAGAATATAACGAAAGTCTAGAAATTACTCATAACGAAATCATAATGCATTAAACTGATATAAGGAGCATGGAAAATACTCACATCTTTCCGGTATATTGCCCCTTGGAAATACAAGAGAGTAGGACGATCCTTGTATGAAAATGATCTATCTCTTGGTGTGCTACGTACGACATGTTTATACGGTGCTATAATATCTTTCTTCACATTCGCTATTTCAACAGGATACCTTCCAAAATCTGCAAGTAGAAGAATGGCAGAACCCAGCTTTCTTCTTGCATCCAGCATGCTGTTAGGATGGTGAGCTACAATGAGATGATCTTTCCCTCCTGAACGTTTCCATTCTTCCCTGCTCATAAGAAATTGTACCAACTTCTCTTGCAACATTTCATTTGCACTAACTTTCTCATCCCCTTGAATCTTAGACAGCCGGTTGTAACTCAGAGATGAGAAAAATGGAACGAAAATTACATCTGCTTGGCTTGAATTTTGCACTCTAAATGCAGTACAAGGCCTGACGACTTTTCCAGAATTTGATGATAGGAGATCGAGGGTGAGCCAGTATTCTGGACTGTGCTGTAAATTTAGTCCCCCAGGATATGATGGGACTAGTTTTGGGTCATCCACCAGTGGCCACGTTTGGTTTTCACTTCCCTTCCAACCCAACATCCCAAAGTGAAATTCAGGAGGCAAGTCATACATGAACACTCTCAAAAGTGCCCCAGTAGGATCACAGGCCATAATTCCCTGTTCTTCTATAGAGCTCAGTTTCTGGCTTGATTTGAAAACTTGACAGTCCGATTCCCCGGGCCTTTGAGCTTGAATTTTTTTGTCTCCAGAAGGGAACGGGGAGAGCATATCTTCTTCCTTCTTGGTATTGGGGTTGAAGTAAAACGATGTGTTATTGACCAGAATAAGCTCAAACACTGATCTAGGTATGAACGAATGATCTCTAAACTGAAGGAGGAAAATCGAAGACAATACCAAAAGGAACATAGAAACCACAATTACACAAAATATAAATCTTGATGGAACCACGCTCTTCGATGGAACCATGCTCTTCTCTGACATTTTTTTTCCCGACAATCAAGAAAAACAAGCTTCTGGGATTCCAACAGAGAACAAGCCAGCAAGCAGCAGAGAATAGCCAGATCACTGCCAGCGATTGAAGAGCATGAACTGATTATACAAAGCAGGAGCTTTAATTGAGGTGGGCAATCGCTTGATAGTAGAAACTCTTGAATTGCAATCCATGAAGACGAAACGGCATACCTACCGATGGCTCTTAAGCAGTTAAGCCCTCAAGGTTTAGTGACAACGATTTCTAGCAGCACAGTCACAACAAATTGCCGTATATAGCACGATGGGAAATGGTCCTTAAAGAAGCCATATATTTAGGGGGGGGGGACAAATGACCAGGAAGACCTAGGAATTGGAATTTATTCAGTCTCCATTGACGAATAATCAGAACCAGAGGCAAATGTGCACAAGCAAGTGAAGAAAGACGATGGAAAACAAGAACTTATCAGATAAAGCAGGCAAGCAACCAGCTAACAATCTCTGGAGCTACTACAATCATAGTAAAGCGTCCAAATCCTCTACAAATCGGGGAAGAGATGCACGCCGACAGCAAATCTAAGAAAATGTTTCAGGGACATCGAAGAGAACAGAAGTAAACATCAGTATGGCGGGACAGAGAACGAGAAGACAAAAACGCTTAAACTTTGCATCTGGGTATTCGGTAATTAATCACCAGACGAAGTGGCCAGTGGGTGAGCGGTAACTCGCTGGCAGAGTATACATCATCGTCAGTTTCGACCACGCGCCTCCATGGTTGTGCTCTGAGACAAGACAAGGTAAGAGGAAAGGAATTGACTTTTCTGACAAAGTTGCAGGCCCATGGATGACTCAGCTGCTCATACTTCTATATTCAACGCGTTCCGTGGGAAGTGAGACCAAAAAAACATTAAATAATTAAATAATTTAATAACGGATTTAAGCTCATTCTCTTCCCTCACTTTCTTATTTACTGAGATTTCCCAAAGTTTGATTATAAAAAAATGATTATTAAGTCGCAATATAAGTAATGATCATCCCGCCATAAAACTAACTTAAAGAGTTAATGAAAAAAAACTAAAAAAGAATGCTTAAATAACTAATTCTGTTCATGAATTAGTTATTTTCACTTATGTATGTAAGAGTAATATTTTCAAAGTGCATAAAATCCTGTTTTTGTTGGGAACAGAATGGGATTAGGTTTTCTGCCACGAAGAGACAATAGCACAAAAAAAAAAGTTTGAATTTTGATACTTCTCCTGTTTTTAATACAGGACTTAATTGTTGATTTGATTTTACTTCTAAATATAAGACTTATTTCTCATATTTATCAGTTTTTTCTAAATTACTTCTATAGATACTCCCTCAATTATAATCAAATAGAAGAGGAAAAGTAAATATTAAGGAAGATGATTAAGATATTTTAAGAAAAACATGTTATATTTCTTATAATTAACTAATTTATTTAATTTTTTTAATCTAATCAGATTAGTTAAATAGGTCTTATAATAAAGATTGGAGGAGTATTATTTACAATAATGCTGTTGAGGGGAAAGACGGAAAGTCAAATGTGTTGATTTGCCAGATTAAGGAATGCGCGTGAATTGTGAAAAAGATAATCTTCCAAAATAGTTTCCCTGAATGGCGAGGGAGTCAGATTGGCAACATCAACATAGAGATTAGATATCAACCCCTTCATTAGTTTATTTTATTTTGGGTAAATGGCCAACTCCTATTGATATTTGTTCCTATAAATAAATGGGCTTTCATCAATAAATAGTAAAGTGAGTATGAAGCCCTGAGGGAAAAAAAGGGAGAGCGAGCATGAGGGATTGAAGCCTTTCCTCTTTTGCAGTTTGTATTCTTGTCTTTATGGGCCCACATCGTTTATATTATTTTTATATGAAACCCGATTCTTTTTCTTCTCGTTATCTGATATAATGGGCCATCCGCTGGGATCAAGATCAATACACCAGTGGTATGGGACCATTGTTTTTTTAATGGTTTTGGACTTATGGGTTGTGGGATTTGACATTTTTTTAAATCCACGTACCCCCTCAACGGAAAGCATACTTTGGAACTTCCTTTTTTTTTTTTGGGCCAGGTGAGAACTTTGAGTTTCGCCCGACGGCCATATCATATTCTTACTCCAGTTTTAAATATATAAATTAAATAATTAATTTATAAAAATGGATTAAATTACCTTTTTTATATGATAAAATTTAGGGAAAAAGACTGAAAAACCACCTTGAAATTGTGAAATCAGAATTTAGGCACCTAACACTTCAAAATGATAGAAAATGAAATAAAATTAAATTGAAAATTTGAAATTAAAGAGAAATAACAAAAATACCCTTTAAAAAAAAAGGTTCAACCTTTTGCCGACAGTCAACGCCAACCATCGACGTGGTGCCTGCCGGCAGGAGTTTTTTTTGCCAATGAAAATTATCTGACAAAGGTGCTGGGAGTGAGATTTTAAATAACCCAAATCCTTATTTTGGTAATTTATACCTTATCATTAATTAAAAATACTTTTTGGTTATTTTTTATTTTTATGTAGATCATGGGAAAAAAAATTCTTCCTGAATCAATTACCATCATATTTCACATGTTATACATCAGGGAAAAAATATATTGTTAATTCTAGTTCAAGATTTGTTATTTTACAATCAAAACTTGTTATTTCTAGATGAAATGTTATCATTTTTAATTAATTCACTTATTATTTTATATATTATATATCAGCAAAAAAATGTGTTGCTAATCTTAACTCAAAACTTATTAATTTATAATCATGACTTGTTATTCTTAGATTAATTGTTGTCGCATTTGCAAGTCAAAGTAAAAGAGTTAATTTTTTTTGTTCACATTATCATGTTAAGAATTATTAATGGCCCAATAGTTACTTTTTTTTGTAAAACCCAAATGACCATCGGGTGATAAGATCAAATCCCACCCCACTACTTTCCTAAATAGCAACTCCTCAAAAAAAAAAAAAAGGAACTCTTGTTGGTAGCCACCATATCAGCAGCCAACATCGGCATCAGCAGTGGTAGGCAATAGCTGACACGGTGCCGGTAAGGGGTTGAACCATTTTTTATGAGAAAATAAATAAGCATTTTGTCTTTTTTTTATAATTTCAAATTTTCAATTTTATTTTATTTCATTTTCTGCCATTTTGAAGTGTTAGATGCTGAATTAGGATTTCACAATTTCAATGTTCTTTTTCTGTATTTTTTCCTTGAAGTCAAACACATGCATGCCAATATATCAATATTAGACTCAAATCAAGATTTTATCAAAACATAATAGGTGATGTTGTCATTAGACAGCTCACAGCTAGCCATTGCCCATTGACAATTAATTTAGTCAGTTATATTATAAAAAATATGTATTGTTTTTCTTAAAATAATTGTTGATTAACCTTTTTTTACCCTTACATTATGGTTAGCTTAGGGCATTATGAAAGATGACGTTATGTAGCATGCATTAAAAGGATGTTTGGATGTAAACCAAACTATAATTTTAAAAGTGTTTTTACAGTATATAAAATAATGATGCAGAAGAGCTTGTCTCATTTTACAAAAAAAATGCTTTTCAAAATTACCTTTTCATATTACCTAACGCCCCCTAAAATCTCGGTTTCCTCATTGGCTCTTACGAACCTACAATATCGGTTATTCCACCGAGAGCAATAAAAGCGGGGGAAAATACTCTAGTGGATTATGTTTTCCTAATTCACCGACAAATTATTATTCTTATCTTATATTAAAATCAAAATTTATCTACGATTAAAATTTAATATTTGAATCATTTAAATATAAAATGAACTATCCATATAATTTTTAAAAATAATCTTCTGCCAGTTTTTCTTCAGATTTTGCCATTAATGATATATATACTTTCCTTACTTTGCACGAAGTTTAACATGAGATTTAAAAATTTATAATGTGACTTGTAAATAGTACACTTTTATTACAAATTTTATTAGTAGCATCTTATATTAATATTGAAGTTGATGAGGTTCTTCTCAAGGGAAAAAATCTCTTGGATGTGTTGGATTTCAAATTTTTTAATTAAACTAGAAGCGGTTAGGAAAAATAAAACAAATAAACCAAAGAGCACCAACACCAACAGTTAAGGGAAAAAACAGGGAAATCGATTTAGATTTTATACTCCTCCGGTCCTAAATATAAGACTTATTTTATAGTGTAATTTTTACTACAAAATGAGTCTTATATTTAGAACCAGAGTAATATTATATTATAAAATATACCATCTTGATCTTTTTTAGTCGTCACTTGTAGGAGGGGATTTAGGTCCTTTTTATTTGTCACTTGTACTTTTTTTTAATGTTTTATTTTCAATTCTGTCCCTATTAATTAATAGAGAGACAAATGTAAAAGTAAAGAGAGAAGGAATAAATAAGAAAAAAATATTAGCATTTAATAGAGGTAAAAATAAAAAAGATATTATGTGTTTAATGATCTCTTTGGTATTGTCCGATTTATGAATCACTTCTAATATATTTTACATAGATTAAAAAAAACTTTAAATTTCATTAACTCTCATTTAAAATTCAATAATTTTTCAACTTTATCTCTATTTAATATATATTATACTTCATATAAACAAAATCAACACAATAATAAATAAAGAGTAAAATTTTATATTTATATAAAAAAAAATTTCAATACCCTATAAATAAAATTAGAGGAGGCTGTGAGTTAACCATGTCCATTGTGTATGAAATTTGGGCCAATCACCTTGTTGCAGCCCAAAACAATCAGCCCGTTCTTTACAACAAATCACGGGTAGTTTTGGAAGTAGTGCTTGGCGTCAATCAAACCCTCGTCACCAACAAGTGTTGGTCCAAGTAGAAGGGATTTAAATACCTTAAACATCATATCATAGGTTTAATTCTTAAGATAGTGTGTATGAAAAAAATACTGTTGGAAGGGGTTCCCGCTACGACGCCTGACAGTATTATGAGAGATTAGTTTCCTTACTGTTCGGATGAGAGGATACTCTGGGCAACTAAAAAAAAACCTCGTCACTTTACTACACATAAAGAAAGACAGAAAGTACTGGTTGCTGCCGCCGGCAACACAAAAGCCACTTCTTGCTTTGTTTTGTTTTTCTGATTCCCCCTTCCTTCTCTCCCATTTCTCTACTCTTAATCAGCCAAATGAACACCTGTGACGAACGTTCAAACAACATTCTTGCTTCACTAAGTAGTATATTTAATTTGTTCCAAATATATACTGAGTGATAGATATTGCATGAAAGGTGAGAATCATACACCCAAACCACAACTTATGCATTGTTCGCATTAACGTCCGTAAAAAATGACTTTTTATCCCAACAGATTTTTAAAAAGTGAAGTTAACATGAAAAGAACAGAACCAAGATGCAGGTGCTGATGAGCACCACCGGAAAAACTCCCCGATCCTCCATCATCTCCGTCACTCCCTCTTCCATTCTCTTATCTGCCTCTGCCAATAAATTCTTACTTTGGAAGATGCAGTCAGAGCCTTCTCTCAGTTTTTATTTTTCTTTATTGGTGATTTTTGGGGTCCACACACGCACATATATAACCAGAAGCAAAGTTGGCAAGCAAAGAAGATCCTATACATGCGCGAAGGGGATGGGGAAGCAACTGTATACAATGGCGCCACGTGGAGCTTAGTTAGAAATAATTTTTTGACACGTAAGATGAGTTATAAATGACAAGAATAATATAAAAATTGAAAAGACAAGAAACTGAGTCGCACTAAATTATGGTCGAAAAATATAGTCATGTGTGAATTAAAAGTTGAAAGACTAAAATTAATTTGCCCGGTAAAAAAATGTAAAATGAGAATATTCAACTTGCAATAGATAAATAATTTCTTATGAATGTTAACTGTTCTTATTCCTTATTTTAAATCAATTACATAAAAATAAAATAATAAATAAATCAGTTTTTAAGTCTTATACTATACCAAGTCCTTTAAAGCCAACAGAAAAAGCGACTTCCGTTTCATGACTCCTCCACGGTCTCCCCCCTTCCATATTCAACCAGGCTTAAGCCCAGAGACCTAAAGTAAAACAGGCCAAGAGCCACGTGAAAGATCCATCTCTCCCTCTTCACTAATTCACTTCCTCTCCCTTGGCTTTAACTTATTTCATCCCACGAGCACACATAAGTTCAAAGGAACCCCACTGCCCGGGAACACTCAGCAAATTTTATTTTAATTTTCTTAAAATGTACTGTGATTGGCTTCTTTTTTTTAACGTTAAATTCTGGTTAGCTTAGTGCATACGAAAGGCGACGTTATGCAGTATATATTAAAATCTCGGTTCCTTCATTGGTTTTCATGAACCTGCAGTCTCGGTTATTCCACCGACAGCACCAAAAGCGGGGGGAAATACTCAAGTGGATTATGTTTTCCTAATTCACCAACAAACTAGTATTCTTATCTTATATTAAAATCAAAATTTATCTACAGTTAAAATTTAATATTTGAATCTTTTAAACATAAAATGAACCGTTCACATAATTTTTAAATTTAATCTTGTGCCAGGATAAGAAATGAGAACATATTTATGTTAGTCACTTGTTATTGAAATTTCTCCATGATTAAGTTTTTTAAGGCCTCAAAATAAATCTCTCTATAAAAAATTTCAAATCCCGCGAATCATAACCATTAGAAAAAAATGGACCATTACCACGATCGTATTTATGCTCACTTGTGTTTCACGGTAAAACTACAAAAGAAAAGAATCGGGTTACATGTAAAAATGACAGAAACGATGTGGGCCCAAAATGGAAAAGAATGAAAACTACAAAAGAGGAAAGGCTTCAGCTTCAAGGCTTTGTGCTCACTTTATGTTTCATGGTGGGAACAAATATCAACGAAAATTGGCCATTCACTCATAACAAAATGAAACAACGAAGGGGTTAATCTGTAATCTCCACGTTGATGATGCCAATCTCACTCACTCATTCACAAATCACGCACAATCCCTAATCAGTCAAATCAACACATTTGGCTTTCACCTCAACTACATTATTATTGTAGACAGTCCCAAAATTCAAACTTTTTCTTTTGGTTATTGTCTCTTGGTGGCAGAAAACCTGATCCCATTTTATTCCAGACGAAAAAGGAGGATTTTCTGCACTTTGAAAAAATTACTCTTACCCAGATAAGTGAAAATAACTAAGCCGTGAACAAAACTAATTATTTAAGCTTTTTTTTTTTTTGGGAGGAGGATGAAAGCGAGGACCGTAATTATGCACTACATGCATCATTGTTATATTAATAGTGAAAGTAGTAATTAAGAAATTAAATAAATATAATATGGAGAAGTGAGTTTTCTCATTTCTTTAAATGATTCCCTCCTCAAAATTCATAATCGTGTATATATATATATATATATATGTGTATGTAGGTAGGTATAGGAGAATGAATATAAATCCTTCGTTCCTAGAAAATTAATAACTTTTGACTCTATTGAAAGATATGTGCGCAATACGTTTAATCTTCCATCTCAAAACAGTTCGAACACACACATAAGAGGAAGCAAAATTATCAACAAAAATGTAATCAAATGATGAAAATTATACTACCTCCGATCCTAATTATAAGAGCCAGTTGACTAATTTGAGGAGATTAAGGAAGTAAGTTGAGTTAGTTATTTGTCCTAAATAGGTGTTGTTTTTCTTAAAATATCCTTACTAATCAAGTGTATTAACTAGAACTATCATTGTTAGAAGGGCTACTTTGAAAAAAAATGTATAAATACGAGAGACAAAATGGATTAGGGTTTTATATTTAGGACCAAAATAAAAATGAAACAGGATCTTATAGTAAAGACCGGAGGTAGTATATCATTAATCTATATAGTCACTTAAAAATTTGAACTGTCCCTTAAAAGTTGCTACCTAAGAACTCAAGCACGTGATGCATCAATAGCGCAAAAGATTATTTCTCTGCAAAATTTATATAATGCATAAGATTTCCATTTTTTTGGTCAAGAAATTTAATTGTCTTCGCGTGTATTTGGGAAGACTCAAGCATTCAAGGCCCAAGAAAATGCATTTTTTGCGTTTTTGTTTTCACGAAACAGTGCTCCCATAATATTCAGGTTGTGTCGGTGCAATAATAATATTCTGGATCGGACCTTTCCTTACGGGTATAAAATGTCTCCTCTTCCCACAAATTTTTGTTATGCGGGGATAGCCTCGAGCAAGGTCTCTGGAACACCGCTGCCTTCATTCAGCACGATCACATTCCCGTTAGAATCGACGTCCACTATAACAGAATCACCCTCTTTAGTCTCCCCAGCAAGCATCTTCTCTGCCATGTTGTCCTCCAAAAGTCGCATTATGGCTCTTCTTAAAGCCCTAGCTCCATAGCTGGGATCATAACCTTCCCGGACCACTCTATCCTTAAATCTTTCTGTGACGTGAAGTCCAATATCTTTGGCTTTTAATCTGTCAAAGACTTCCTTTAGCATTATGTCAACAATCTCCTTCACCTCCATCCTCGTGAGTTGCCTGAAAACAATGATTTCATCTAACCTATTCAAAAACTCCGGCCGAAAGTATTGTTTCATTTCCTCAGTCACCACATTCTTGATATGGTTGTAACTGTTGTCCTTCTCATCATAGTCAAGGTCAAATCCTATCCGACGGCCACCTTTCTCAATCACACTGCTTCCTATGTTTGAGGTCATTATAAGAAGCGTATTCTTGAAGCACACGGTTCTACCCTTACTGTCCGTTAGCCTTCCGTCTTCGAGAATTTGAAGCATCATGTTGAATACATCAGGATGAGCTTTCTCAATTTCATCAAAGAGGACAACGTTATAGGGTCGACGCCGAACTGCCTCAGTCAACTGACCACCTTCGGTGTAACCCACATATCCCGGAGGGGAACCAATAAGCTTGGAGATAGTGTGCTTTTCCATAAATTCACTCATGTCAAGCCGAATCATGGCTTCCTCAGAGCCAAAGTGGTATGTGGCCAATGCTTTTGCCAGCTCAGACTTCCCCACCCCAGTTGGACCAGAAAATACGAAGCTGGCAATTGGGCGATTAGGATCCTTTAACCCAACCCGAGCTCGGCGTATCGCTCGGCTAACGGCCTTCACGGCTTCATCCTGACCAATGACCCTCTTGTGTAGGGTCTCTTCCATCTTAAGGAGGCGATCAGACTCATTTGTTGAGACTTTCTCAACAGGAATACCAGTCCAAGATGAGACGATGTTTTGAATGTCAGCTTCAGTAACAACTAGACCTCCATCTCCGGTCTCGCTCTCAGGCTTGCTCATCCCCTTGCCTTTCTCTGTAAGTGCTGAGATTTGTACCTTAAGATCCATTTCTCCGTCTCGTAGCTCTCCTGGCTGCTGGGAGAAATTCATGTCCCGTCAGTCCATCAATTAATGACTAAACAAGATTCCAAATAATTAGGAGATAAAGTCACTCAATTAAAACAAGAAAAATGTTGACGCTATTGTACTCTTAAGTTATTATGAAACTAAATAAGTTGCTTAAGAATTTTAAAGAAAATCATCATTCTCTTCTATGAGAAAGCCAAACATTGTCTCCCTGAAAACGTCGGTTTTGCACCAAAACCATACAAGTAATCTTAAATGAAAAGGCTTTGCCTTTTCAAAGTCTTGGTCGTGGACTGTTTCTTCCTCCTTCACAATCTGCTCGACCGTCTTGTCGGGCCCTCTGGATTCTTTTTCAGATAACTAGAATGACATAAATTCAGCTCAAGTAACACAAAACTGATCAACAGAAGAACTTCAACCTAGGGTTAAGATACGCAAGATACCTGTGCACGTCGATTTTGAACTCGTGATCCAGCTTCATCAACCAAATCTATAGCTTTGTCCGGTAGAAATCGATCGCTGCAGGGAACAAAATTATTTAGAAACCATGAATACCTCGGTTAAAGTACACGGCAAGAAGAAAATAATAGGGTTCAAGATGCATCTAATTAATCTAAAGATACTGACAATTACATTAGAGATGACATTTTAAGAAAGGAAATAGGACTATTAACATCCTTCATTCCACCATCCTTCATTCCAGGCTTAACGTGCAACCCTATATGCTCCATTGAAAAAGAAAAGAAAATAAAAGAATGAAAGGGGGGAAAAAAATCACAAGAAAGAAAGAAGGAAAAAATAGATTGCAATAAACCTGATATACTGGTATGACAGCTGAGCAGCAGCTACAAGGGCTTCATCAGTGTACCGGACTTTGTGATGAATCTCAAAACGTTCTCTAAGTCCTTTCAAAATTTGTGTTGTCTCATCCACAGTTGGCTCTGGTACTTTAACTGGTTGGAATCGCCTCTCTAATGCTGGATCTTTTTCAATGTGTTTCGTGTATTCATCCAGAGTTGTGGCTCCTATGCACTGTACATGATTAGGCATATATACTTGTTTAGCCTAACTTCAATAGAAACAGCAGTATCTGTATTTAGTTAACCTCTCTTCATGGTCAATTCGGCAAAGGCTTGCCAAGAACTCCGTTAGCAGTTGGTCTCTAACTTGATCATTTGGCAATCTAAGATTAGAACTCTTTTGGATTCATATTCCAATCCTCAATGTTGGTTATTACTTATTCATGTCAAAAAAAACAATTACTTATTAATTTTGACTACGTGCCAGCAATAATCGCAATTTTCCATGAGAATTGGCAATTGATAACTGACCTAAAGCAGCCTTTTCTGATGTTCAATAATGGTTTCAATTTAAAGCACGCTAATAATATCCCACAACGACCCAAAAAAAAAAAAAAAAGACAAAAAGATTAAGCATTCCTTGTGTAAATTATGGACATACTATAGGTGGTGAAGACCTATAACCAGCAATGCATAAAAGAGCAAAACTACCCGCGTTTTCATTAGACATGACTGTTCATTCACATACATTCAATATTATATCCATTTTGTACAACCCAATAATAAATATTACCTGTAGTTCACCTCTTGCAAGAGCTGATTTTAATAGATTTGCGGCATCAATTGCTCCTTCAGCTGCTCCAGCTCCAATTAGAGTGTGCACTTCATCAATGAAAAGTATTATCCCACCACTTTGTTTGATTTCCTCCATTAGATTTTTCAATCTCTCCTCAAATTCTCCACGATATTTAGTTCCAGCAATAAGTCGACACATATCAATGCTTATAACCTTAATTATTCAGAAGAAAGTAATCTATTACAAAACAATGGGAAAGACACCAAGACATAACTAACAACCTATTAAAAAATTAGACATAATAGATCACTATTATCTGGCAATTAGGATAGATCTTCTCGGCCATGCATGTTTTATATCAGCAAGATTGACAATATAACAATGACAAAAAAACTGCCTTGGAACTTCTGTTCATTTAACAAAGACGGTCTATGCCAAATATAATTGAAAAGCAAGATCTTGCACATGATTCAAGTTTCAAACTCCTCAAAATCTTGCGACCTATAATTAGCCCTTAACATAGATGAAAGTGTTTCTAACCTGCTTCCCCTCTATAGTTTCAGGTACATCACCACTTGCTATCCGATGAGCAAGACCCTCAACGATAGCTGTCTTCCCAACACCAGCTTCTCCGATTAGACACGGATTATTTTTTCTGTAACGGCCTAAAATTTGAGTTACACGTTCAATTTGTTGCTGCCTGCCAACAGCAGGATTCAGTTCTCCCTGCAAAGGAGGGAATAATAAAGCCTATGTACACAGTGGCACAACACATCATCAGTCATCAATAAATACAAACTTTCAATTATACCTCTTCTGCTAGCTTGGTCAAATTGGTACCATATTCCTCCAAAGCTGACGTTTTATTCCCACTGCTTCTTGGGCTCACAGTGGCAGTGACACTGCCAGCTCTCTCACCAATCATGCGAATAACCTGTGCCCATGAACTAAAATTTAATAACTAATAACATACAAGTTAAGATAATCAACAAAAAACACAGAATGCAAGGGAACTAGCCTGAGCGCGAATAAGAGTTTGTCTAGCACCCAGGTTATCAAGAACACATGCTGCAACACAATCGCTCTCACGGAGGAGGCCCAAAAGCAAATGCTCAGATCCAATATAATAGTGTCCTGAAATACTCATCAGATCCAAATATAATCTTCATCATCAAATTGGTCACTCATGGGAATACAAAAGCTCCAACTCACTTAAATGGCTCACTTAAAACTGGAATGAAAATGATGAAGATATTATGCGCTTTGTAATTTGATGGCATGAAAGATAGATAAAGGTATTGACAAATTACCAAGTTGGCGGGCTTCTTCAAGTGAGAGTTCCAATACATGCTTTGCTTGAGGTGTGAATGGAATTTCAACATCAACAAATCCAGTACCCTTTCCAATTATCTTCTCCACTTCCGCACGTGCATCTTTAAGCTTAATCCCCATAGACTTTAGAACCTTAGCAGCAATACCAGTGCCTTCGCCAATAAGACCCAATAGAATCAGCTCCGTTCCAACAAAATTTTGACCAAGACGTCGCGCTTCGTCCTGTGCTAGCATAATTACTTTGATTGCTTTCTCTGTGTAACGCTCAAACATGGCTTTAGGTACAAATCTGTTGGCTCTTCCTCGTCTAGAAGAAGTTGCAATTGACATCTTGGAATAAAAATCCTGTAGAGGTCTCAGCATTGTGTTTGGGTCCAAAGGATTAACACGTCGGAGTCCTGAGAAACCAGACATTCTTAAACTAGATGTTGGTAAAGTGCGACACATCATTTTCACTGATCTTGGTGATTTTCCAGATCCCTTGTGCTGATGAACATTCCTTTGCCAGGCCACTAGACCAGGGACGTGAGTTGACTGAGCCAAAAGCCTGGACATGATTTCTGAATAGCTGGCTGCAATGATTTGTTAATGGGGCGTGTTAGCCAGCAAGGAACACTCTTGGTTTCAAATATGAATAAGATGGGGGAGGACATCGAGGAAAGATAAAAATAATAATAATAATAATTAAGTAAAAGTTTTAATCTCACTTCTTGAATTTTATAAATATTAAAATTTTTCTTCCCCTATATTCCTCTACCAAACGGATCCTAGGGCAAAAGACATTATTAGCCTTAGCGAAAAATAAAATGAAATTAGAATGTCATGCCAGGATACTACAAAACTAAACTACTCCCAGTATTTATAGACTTCTTTTCCTTCTAACTAAAGGAGTAATACAAAGAAATAAAAACTTTCTACCGCCAGTTCTAATTTCAAAGCAATAAAGAACAGTTATAGTGAGTGGAATGAGCGTCAGGTAAAAAGTTCCTGTATATGTGTGTGTTGTGTTAGCTTATACTACTAGATAATTATAAAAGAGCTACTCCAAAACTTAAGATAGACCTTAATAATATTATGGCTAATTCCCCAGGAAGAACACAAAGTGTTGAATATTTTTTAAAAAAAAAAAAACAGAGAGAGAAACTCACTAGAAAGGATGTGGCCCCAAAATACAAGACGCAAGGATAGGACAGGAAAGACAAGATTCACAGCACACGCAGATAATATTATATTGACGTACAAATAAGAAGACAAGAAGCTGAGAGGCAGGGAGCAAAAGGAAGGAAAAAGCGAAGAAAGGCAAGAGAGAAGAAGGAAGAGAGAGAGGAGCGGAGTACCAGCGACTGCGTGTGACTGAAGGGCGTGGGAGCGGCGCGAGTGCGTGCGAAAAAGGAAATTTCCCTTTTTTTCCTTTTATAATTAGACTATTAAAAAAATAATCTTCTAATTGGTGTAAAGCCAATTTAATTAATTTATCATATTAAATAAATTAGGTAACTTAACTAATTATAATAAATAAGATATATTTTTCCCAAAACACATTGATCATGTTCCTTGATTCTCTCTTTTCCTTTCTTGTTTGAAGAATTATCAATATGTGTAATTTTAAAAAAAATTAATAAATATAAAAATATGTTTTATATTTATGATCAAAATTAGCTCTTCAATTAAGTCATACATAAAAGACCTGAAGAGTGTATTTTTATTTTAATAGCATATTAGATATTTTATAAGAATAAAATTTTAATATATGTATTTTAAAAGTTATCTATATATTAAAACTTGATTAGATACATATGATACCTCAATGATTCGGACATGTAAAAGTTTTTTTAGTTATCATTTACCTCCCATAATCTCATTCAACCGTGTGCTATTATTTCATCTAATATAAATTTTAAAACATTTCTTACAAATTTTCTTGCCTAGTTTGACTTCTCTGTCTGCTTTTTAATTTCTCTCTTACTTGTGCATTGCTCATCTTTTATTTATAGATATTTTAGATCTGTATATTTTTATCTGCATTAGGAAGAGAGATTTAGAAAATCCTAGTTGAGAGATTATCCAAATCCTTTTAGAGATATTAATACTTTCTTTAATTTGTTGAGAAATTTGGATAATATCCCAGAAAATCTCAAAATGCTGTTGACCCAAACCAAACATGATTTTTCATTACGGATTTGCATCAGCACATGTAGCCAAACGAGGCCTAGAGGGATTGAACGTATTTTTTGAGGATAATATTGCCCTACTATCCACATCAAACCATTAATAAAGGAGTAACGTTGCATTGGTTTTAAAAAATTATGCTTTATATTGCTTCATACTTTGTTTTAGAATCCTTACAAAAATGCGCTTTAACATGAAGTATGACAAAATCGTTACAACATGGTCCACTCAAACTCCACATAAGTTCTCAGGTCAAAAAATAAAAAAATATGGCACTTTTTGCGACTAAAAGGATATAAATTGAGCACGTGGCAAGGATGTGGCCAAGCATCATGCAAGAAATAACACTAAAATATACTTTAATAATAAAAAATCCAAACAACCCACATCTCTGTCGTTTGCCAACCTGACCTGACAGCTGGCCCAAAAAAGGGCAAAAACAAAACACAACAAAATCTGAGCGCCACTTCCCTTCCTCCCGGGATACGACATTGTTCCTCTGATAACTGTGCCTTTAGAATTTAAAGTCTCTTTTACCGCCCAAAAATATTTATGCATGTAATATTTTTAATCCACGGGCATGAAAAATACTTTTAAAAAGACAGCCCGTCAGTCAGCCCCTAATTTGATACATATTATGATTTCCATCTAAAACTGAATAGTCCCTCCTGATATTTGACTTCCCCCCCTTTTCTTTTATCATTTTTTTGATTTTATATTCATATTTATATTCTAGTGTTATTTCTAAATTTTGTTACTTTTCCCCCTCTTTTCAAATTATTTACATAAAATAGTGCGCCGTTGCCATGATATTAGTGAGTCTTAACTGATGAGCAAAAGTGAATGTTGGAGGCGAAGACAGTTTTTAACAGGATAAGAAAACTCAGATTATGAAGCTAAAATTACAAGTGAGAAAATATCTTGAAATAATTTAACAAAACAATTACAAGAAATCTTGTTTTTTTTTTCCGGTCAAAACAAATCAAAAAACAAGCCATAAAACAAAGAGAGATCCTAAAGGATCTTTAACGTGCGCGGGCTATAATGGGCCAATGAATGGCCCATCCCGGCCCATGATCCAATAACAAAGTTCGACGGGACCAATAAATGGTTTAGTATTTCGGTTTTTACATGAATAAATTATTCTCCAGTCGTAAATTATTCAAGTTTCACATCATAAAAATGATAATTATTCATAATTGCAAACGTCAATCAGACCTTCCCCCCCCCTTTAAAGGTACGAAAGCAGAACTAGACCCATACAGGACATGTTTGAATCATATGGCGGAAAAGGGAAGTTGTGAATATATGTTTGAACCAACTGGAACATTCAGGTAAAAAAAAATAACCAACTGGAATATTATATACGGGCTCATCCTATGCAAGACTTAGTATTCAAAATTAAAGTTGTGAATATACTCCTCCGGTCCTAATTATAAGATCCAATTGACTTATTTGAGGAGATTAAGGAAGTAAGTTAAGTTAGTTATTTATAATAAATAAGTGTTGTTATTCTTAAAATATCCTTGCTAATTAAGTATATTGGCTAAAACTATCATTATTAGAAGGATTATCTTGGAAAAAATGCATAAATATAAGAGAAAAAATGGATTGGGTCTTATAATTAGGACCAAATAAAAAGTCAAATTGGATCTTATAATAAGGACCGGAGGAGTATGTTTGATTGTATGCAACTGTACTTATATGCACCAATGCGTGTTCCTACGTCAAGAAAACATGCGATTTGTGAGTCTGTGCTTCGTCCCATGTAACCGCACTCGAATGTTCCCTTGCGAAGAAAAGCGCGTGTGTTCCAGACGCTTGTTCCTATTTCTCCAGTGCATTCCTCGCCTGGTCGTCAAACACAGGCGTCAACATCCTCGTCCAAGCTGTGTCTTCAAAATCAGTGTACTCTGCAAGTGTCACGCCCGCAACGCACTGGAGATCGGAAGAACCATCAGATGATGTTTGTGAATTAACATTTAGAAGTCAAAACTCAAAAGGTTCAATCGGAAAAAATCAAAAAGGCTCACCTGAAATCCATCCCTTCCAATAGCACTCCGCATTATAGGAAAAACATATGCGCCTTGACCGGAATGGAGAAGCGTCGGGAAGTCAGGGACATATAGAATCGAGCCTCCTGCATAAAAAGTAAATGACAAGACAACTCAAAATGTTCGGATTGAACCATGGTTATGCATTTCACCTGCTGTCACACTTTTAATCAGCTCAGGGAGGACTTCTTGTAATCCTCCCCTCTTCTTTGCCTTAGCCATGAATAATGGTGTGTCCAGGCAGAGGAGACGTGTTCCCTGTAAAAACAGAGGGAGACAATGTGTTAGTAAAAAACGAATTATCTCGATCTCCTAGTCATGGGAGATGATTGTTTACCGAGGGGAGATGAGATTCTCCCCTAACCAGGGCGAATGCCATGGCCTCCGTTACAGGCACTCCTTCGTCCCCCACGAGCATCACACTGTTCTTCTTTCTGCGGCCTAAAATCAGCAGCGCTTCCATAGCCTCACGCTCATGGCCCGTCCGCGGATCCGTCAGTCCTAAGTCTGCTCGGGCCGTGAGGTCTACGGCAACATGTTCGCCTGCAGCCTCTGCGTTTCTTTTTGTTTTTAAAAAAAAAAAGATTACGCACAGTTAGATTGACAAAATAGAGAGTGAGCCGGCAACAAATTTACAGACAAGGCAAAGAAACTCTCACTGTTTTCTAGTGGCAGACAAGGCTGGCGAGACTATAGCAGCAGTTTGGTATGAGATCAGAACGCTGACCATAAGAAATCAACCAAACAGATTCAACAAAGCCAGGGGAAAAAAAAACAGAGACAGTATGAGCAAGCACAGAGAAGTAATTACCGCTCCCTGGTGACAGATGAGGCCGATGAGATTGCTCTAACAGGAAGAGTGCGGCTGGAGATCAAAACAATGAGGCATAGAAATTGAACAACATCCAGATATTCAACGAAACAAAAAAAAAAAGGAGGAGGAAAACAGAAAACAGAGAGGCCGAGAGGGATCACCGCTTTCTAGTTGCGGAAATGGCAGGAATGAGGGAAGGCGCCATTGCTAAAGCCATGGTCATCGTGCAGAATGAGGAGGGAGGAATATGAACGATACTGAGCAGGTCGGAGGAGGGGGTGAGAGAGTCAGTTATGGTGCAGTAATTGTTAGGGGCAACGATACTGTTATATAGGGAGGGTGTCATGAAAAAATGGCGCGCTTCATTTTGAAATGGTCACCGGACCGTTCGGTTGTGAGTCTGCTGTGAAGAAAAATGGCGCGCGAAGGATGCTGTGAAGAAAGGCTATCTGCTGAGTCTGCTAAGATCAATCACGGAGAAGAGGTGGACTAAGATGAATGATGTAATAATCCTTTTC